GACGCCACTGTCCCCACCAGCACACTGTGCCGCAGCCTGATTGACTGTCTCCTGGGCCCTACACTTTCTACCCATCCTCACCTCGATGACAGCTGAGGAAACTTTGGTTTCAGTGGATTCTCTGTACAGCAGAGAAACCATAAACTCCTCCGACAGGCTACTCAAGGGGAGTTATAGCTTGTTCTTCCTTCCATATAAGGCTATGCTGGTGATACTGCGAGGGAGACCCAACCACCTACGTAGAGATTGGTATTGGCCATTCCACCCAAAAGGTGGGTGTGACTAGGAACTATTAAAAGTCATTAACTCAGACTAATCATTGCTCAAAACCCTTCTTCTTGAGACAGACACTCTCCAAGACTCCTCAAAACTCTCCTCGAGTTTGATTTTCCGGCATTTTTTTTATTATCTTCAAGTAACTTTGTCGATTCGCTGTGGACTTTCCTATCTTCAGAAGAACCAGAGGAAAACCTCCAGCTCACTCCTAAAGAACTCATCAAGAACCTCACCGCAACCTAACCTCATCAAGTGCCTACCGCATCAGGACTCTTGTTCAGCAACAAAGCCAATGCAAGTAACCGTTTACAACTATTTAGATGCGTGTTTAAGTTCAAGCCCCTTTTTAAAGGTGATTTTTGATTCTCTGATGAACACTATCCAAGACTCCTCAAGACTCTCCTCTTGAGTTTGATTTTCCGGCAGTTTTTATCTTCAAGTAACTTCGATTTGCTGTGGACTTTCCTATCTTCAGAAGAACCAGAGGAAAACCTCTAGCTCACTCCTAAAGAACTCATCAAGAACCTCCGTGTTTATTGCATCAGGACTCTTGTTTCAGCAACGAAGCCAATGCAAGTAACCATTTACAACTATTTGGATGCGTGTGTAAGCTTGAGCCGCTTTTAAGGTGATTTTTTGATTCTTTGATGATTCTCATTAGGTTGTGGTTAATTGATGTGAAATACTGCCATTCTTTTGCTATTCTCTCTCTCTTCCTTACTTTCCTTCATTCTGTATATATGTGTTTTGCTTAATTTAGTTGTATGTTAGCTATAGTTTCATTTATTAATTCCCTTATATTCACAATTGATTGTCTCTGTGTGCTGCTCACAATTCGGAGTCACTGAATGTTGATCCTTGCTACATGCTAAATTACTGATAGTACTGCATAAAGTAGTAAAGCTATTCTTCCTTGGCCAGGAATATAATCTTTCCTAGAATTGGTAAATGATTATATTGTCTGCTCGGTGGACGGACAGATCAAATAATTGTAATATTGATTCTGCTACAGTTAATTCTAAGATCTAATCTAAATATGTATTATTAATTATAACCAGTTATAATTAATTATAAATATTTCCCTTTTGAGCTAATTTGCTACAACAGCGGTGTCAATCTACTCATTCTGCAGGATATTCTAATATTGTTTATAATTTTTGCGCATCAGGGAGCCGCTATTAATATGCGGAGTGTTGAAATCGCTTTTGAATGAGCGCTCGCTGTTCACTTTTTGATTTTTTGATCGCTTAAAGAGAGCACATTTTACAAGATAAGATATTTGCCAATGAGCTCAGGATCTGTTTGAGCAGCAAATCCAGCATGGTCTTGTCAGTCATCTCTCTTTACTCTCGTCTCAACCCGTGATCAGTCAAATCTGACTCCCGCTGCTGGTGTTGGATGCAGGGGATACTTTTCCCGCGGTTGATTTTTCTCCCGTGGTTTAAAGGTTTGAAATATTGCCTAAATTGGTATAAAATATTGCCTAAAAATAAGTAAAAATACTTGTATTGAAATATTTTGCATTCTACCTATGATAAAACTGTGCTATATTTTAAGTTTTGTGAAGGAGGCCCACTGGTAGGAAGCCTTTGAGCTGTGTTTATGATCAATATGCATAACAGTGACTGTAAAATATTTTATGGAAATGACATAGGCCTATATGAGTTTTGACATTTGGGATATGGTCATTGCGCTACTTTGGACTGTTTTGACTGGCCATTGGGCAAGTTTTGTCACGCAGACCTGGTAACCTTGGGTGTATGATGCAGAACAGACTCTTTCAGTTTAGAATTGTAGCATGCACTAATTGATTTTTATTTCCATAAAAAAGCAAAACGACAGTTATTAGTGAACGACCAAACACCGCGTAACACCAACTACAGCAGCAAGCCTAGTTTTTTGACCGCCCAGGCGCCCACAGCAGTGAAACCGCCTGTTCGGGATCCCAAACTCAATGCAGCCCTCTAGTCATTACCATGGCTTGAATGTTCCCTAGAGCACAATGCATACTTTTGTTCTCCATGACCAGTGTTCGGTTTTGCTTTCTCCAAAAATGACACTTTCGTTCGACAGGTTTTTGAAACTGGAAAGCAGCATTAGAACGTGACCACGGTCTTCAAAAACATGCAAGAAAAATAGTTTATGAACTAAAATTAAATAGTTTAAGAACTAGATCTATTTGCAAATATTTTTAATAGGTTACATGTCTGTCCTAACCACAACCTATAAACACGTCAGAGCCACATGTTTTGGTCTCAGTGGAGGGCAAGGCCATGCCATGAATACAAAAGTTAAAATGAGGGGGCACAAATCAGATCTGGGGGGGGGGGGCATGCCCTCTTTTTCCCTCTCGTGGCACCAGGCCTGATTAGACACAACACCACACCACCATCTACAGCCCACATTTTCTAGTCTCTTGCACATTTTGCACGTCCATAATCATTGTCTGTGCATGTCTCTGGAACTGCACTTATTGGACTTGGAGTTGGAGTGGCAACACTCACAGTTGGGCTGTTGAGAACTACTCAAAGATGGTGTAGAAAAAAGACAAATCTGGAAACAACAAACTGGATGTGTGAGGAGATCAGAAGTAGTGATGTCCGGTTCGCGAACGAATCGTTGGATTTAACCGGTTCTTCTTAGTGAACCGGTTGAACCAGTTCAACAAATCGGACTGAATTGTTTGAAACGGTTCGCGTCTCCAGTAAGCATTAATCCACAAATTACTTAAGTTAACTTTTTTAACGTGGCTGACACTCCCTCTGAGTCAAAATAAACCAATATTCCGGAGTAATTCATTTACTCAAACAGTACACTGACTAGCAGAGCAGCATGTGTGCAGCGAGCCGGATAACGAAGGTACACGCCCACTGCTGGAGCGGTTCTCGTTTTCGAGTCAAGAAGCCGTTGCATCGGTTTTCGGATCACCAGTACACTCAACCGAGAACCGTTTCTTTCAGACACATCAGATTTGAGAACCGATGAGCTGATGATACTGTGCATGCGTGTAATTTTTCAAGAGGACGAAAAGCATGTTATCCAAGTATTTTATTAAACATCAGAAAGTGTGATAATATAAATATATATAATTTTTTTTTTTTTAAAGATGAATGTATCTAATCTGTGTACTTTGTTCAGTTGAAGATTCTCTTAGGTTATAAGCCAAAGGGGTTTGTCAGGGAAGTTGGACAATAATTAAGACTCTATGTTTAATAGGAATAAGGGATGATTTATGAAATGCCTGTACTGTAATTATAGTTAATGATGACACATTCACAAATTGAGTTTGTAGTAAATAGAACATGAACACGAGTAGAGCAGCTGATACTGAACGTGAGTGCAGGGTGCCGGTTAGAGCGATTCGTTCTCCAGTCAAGAGGACGCGTCTGATTTGAGAACCGATGAGCTGATGATACTGTGCATGCGTGATTCAGCGTGAAGCTACCGAACAGATTGCCTACTATTGGCGCTTTTCCATTCCGTGGTATGACTCGGCTCGGCACGGCTCAGTACGGTACGACACGGCACGGCTGGCTTCAGTTATTGGAGTAATGGAAATAAAGCATCAAAAAGTGCGCGCACAATTCCAATTAAGGTATGTAACCAATGAACACAATGTTGATGGGCTTCGTTAGCGGTTCTGTTGTGTTTGTGTCGCAAGTTCAGTGACGCAGGTAGTAACGATTCTCTAAAAAACTATAGAGAGTACTAAAAAAAGTACCAGGTACTGTACCCAGTGGAAAACCCCCCAAAAGTGAACCGTACCGAGCCGTACCGTGCCGTACCATGCAGTGGAAAAGCGCCATATGACTGACACAGCACGTCTGAACCGAACTAGTTATTTTGGACAACTGATTCTGTGCTAATGTTATGAGCGCGAGTAAACCGAAGACTTGAATGAAGGGCAATCTGGCGAAACGTAAGTTTATTTAATAACAAATAAATCGCAATGGATTATGTATAGTAAGCGGATTATGGTTTCTGCACTAATGACAACTAATTTATTTACTTTATATCTTCAAGACTTAAATCCTGGTATGCACATCACTGCCTGTATTTGGGTGCTTAGTTGCAAAACTTAATTGTAAACTTTTCAGATAATGATTATGATGTTTTAACTGACTGAAGTTATGATTACTGACTTTATATATTTGAATGTGTATTTTCATCCCGGCCCGGGGCGATAGACTTGATATCATTACGTCATCGCGAATGACGTCATTACGTTAGGGCGTAAAAGAACCGATGAACCGTTTTTTTTAACTAGTTCATTGAAACGAACTGTCCAAAATAACCGGTTCGCAGAAAAGAACCGGACTTCCCATCACTAGTCAGAAGGTACCTGCGATTCAGAGAGCAAAATGTTGACTCCCTGCTGACCTCTGCAGGTCAGGTGAAGCATCACAAGGCCACCATGATGCACGTGTCGACTGCTTACGTTTATGGTCAGTGGAGTTTATTCAGGCCTGAACACTTGGGCAGGAGATAACCACTATAATCACCATAATAACCAAAGTCCAAATGCTCATCTCCACTAAAACACTTATACTACAATAAAATCACCTTAAGTTAAACACACACTTTCATTCTCTCTCTCTCTCTCTCACACACACACACACCTAACAGTTGCATGAGAATTTCTAAGAAGATATTCACAGTAAGATTATGCCATTTATTCGAAACAATTAAAAATACTGACATATACAAATAGACTTATAGGCAGAAGCATAATGGATATTCAAATCGAAGAAGCGCATTTGATTTTGAGCCAAAAAGACAAAAGAGAAATATTTTTACTTTTGCATAATTAAGTTTCACAATTATTCTAGGTATAAATTGAATAGTGCCCCAAAGTTGTTGCAGTTTAAAGACAAAATATCATTTAGCCTATGAGATTCATGCAGAAACAAGGAGTTGTTGTATGCTGGTGGTTTAAGGAATCCATCCAAAATTTACAAAATATTAATTTGTCGACACGACACAACCGAAGAGGTTTATCATTTAATGCAGTAGTTCTTAACTCCAGTCCTGGGGACTCACTGCTCTGCATGTCAAAAGACGCAAGTCGCAAGTGTGGTGCGTTTCTCTGAAGGAGTACGGAGAACAACTCGTGCAGTTAAACACAGTGATAATGTGCAGTTCAGCCTTGTGCTGCTGATGGTTTCAATTGATTTGTTTCTATAGAAGACTCAATCAATGCAGGACTTATAATATCCTTACTATTCTGGAATAACAGCAGTAAAGGCATTAAAACTGCATGTTCTCAAGTTCAATTGATAATTCAACTATTTAACTGGGTCTGAACACACTGCAATAATTATTACAGTGAAAGTTAAGTAAAGTTTCATTATAAATACTAACAGTTCTTTTTATTTGAGGTGGGTTTTTCCCATGAAACAGTATTATCTAAAAGCCGATTACAGTGTTCTTCACATGAAAACACTGGGCAATCACTGGCAGTCAAGTTCAGTTGCAGTTTTGCTTGGTTCATTATAAAAAATTATATTGTATCAGGACTTGTACTCTGCCTTCATGCATATTATAAAATTACACCACTAGATTACAAATCGACAAAAGAACAAATCGGATACTTATGCATTTTAAATGCTCATCAAATCATCTTCATGTCAATCTCTGGTCTCTGCTGCTGCTCCGAGTCGTCTCATTGAGCTGATGGACTCTATGTGTCGTCTCAGCTTGGACTCCCAGTCGTCTGATCGCTCCAGAACTTCATAGCGCGTCTCCAGCGTGTCTAACGCCTGCACTGCTTCAGGGAGTTCAAGGGTCAAACCAGCCTTCTGCACGACCTCCTGAAACTTGGCAGGTGATGCGGTCGCTATGCAGCATCTGAGTACAAAGAGCTTCTGGCTTAAATGACACTGTACAATTCATTAAAAAAACAGGAAGAATAGTTACTGCCACAAGTGTGATTTATACATGCCTACATGCTCCAACTTCACCAGCAGAGCTACAGATCAGACAAAATCAGACCTGCAAACTCATTTCATTGAAATCGCATCGCAATGAAATTCACAGCTCTGACACTGAAATAGGTCATTCACAAGATTAGTGCAAATCCGAGGAGTTTTTATTTAGGAGGATTATGAATGAATCTCTGAGGGGAACTGAATGTTGTCAGAAAAGTTTCGATAGAATTTTCTTTTCATCTATCCTCCATATGACATTTAGTAACGCAGCGCTGGTTTGTGTACTGGGGTAACCGCTGTATTTTTGCTTTTCCATAACCATCAAAGAGTGACTTTTAGCGAATTTTCATTTAGCCCGTATGCCAGTTTTGTTCAGGCAAATTAATTTACATATGTAATAATTTATGATTAATGATAATTATAATAACAATATATCAATATTTATTATATTTATAAAAATATAATTGTGTTATTATTTTAATCAAAATTGGCATTATTTGAACTGTAACAGGCCCGTTCACGCCAAGTATGATAGCTATAAAGATGATTATAATGATAACTATATTAGTGTTTTGCATCTATATTGTTATTTTTATCATAAGCAGCACAAGCTGCAGTTTTGTCATCTGCCCCTTTAATTGCTCAAGCTCTTTAAGCAGGATTGATTCTGATTGGCTGTCAATGTTTTTATCATTCAGCAGGAAAAATTATTGTAAAAGTGATTCTAACGATATTGTTCCTCTGTGCTGTTATCGTTACAGTTGTGGTGTGGTCTCGCTAATCTTTTACATTTAGAACTATTTTGAAAACTATATGTTTATTGTTACAACATTGGTGTGAACGGCCCTTAGTTTTTAACAATCATTTTACAGTTTAGGATGTTAAAATAGACAATGGTGTTTTTTCAACATGTAGTTCTATTGTAGTTCCAAAACTATTTCAGCTGCTGGTTCCAATTAATTTTTGGAAGAAAACAATTCTTTGAAATTCCCCCCATCGTCACCTTTTTCACAGATATGCAAATTTTGTCTATATTAATCTGCCTTTGGAGACATTGCAGGATGTCCTCACATTAAAGAAAACAACTCATGAATAAAATTTCAAAGTTAGAGGTTAAAGGATAAATTATATGACAGGCTCAGGTATAAACAAAATATAGTCTTATAAGTCAAGCATGTGCATGTGTGTGTGACCTGTTTTCTCCGGGTCTGATGGGTGTGTGATAGTGCTGCCACACGCCTACAGCAGTATGCGGACAGATGAGATAGTGATTGTCCTGCCAGCATCTCCTCATGGCCTCCAGTATCCCGTCATCAGACACCGACCCGGATGACAACACCTCACATAACTACAGTGGAAAATGTAACTCTATTATCATCCAGCTATATGCGACTATAAGGCATGCAGATATTATAAACATTAAAGGGTTAGTTCACCCAAAAATTAAAATTCTGTCATTAATTACTCACCCTCGTGTTGTTTCAAACCCGTAAGACCTTCGTTCATCTTCAGAACACAATTTAAGATATTTTTGATGAAATCTGAGGGCTCTCTGACCCTCCCATAGACAGCAAGGTAACTATCACGTTCAAGGTCCAGAAAAGTACCAAGATGATCGACAAAGTAGTCCGTGTGACATCAGTGGTTCAACTGTAAGGGTACGAAGTTACGAGAATCCTTTTTTGCGTCACTTGTGGACGTGCGTTCATGACAGTATCATGACGCGAGCGTGTGGCGGCGCTGAAAATGTGGAATAAAGTCATTATTTTTGTTTTCTTTGCGTAGCTCGTAGCTTCGTAACTTTACAGTTGAACCACTGATGTCACACGGACTACTTTGTCGATCATCTTGGTACTTTTCTGGACCTTGAACGTGATAGTTACCTTGCTGTCTATGGGAGGGTCAGAGAGCCCTCAGATTTCATCAAAAATATCTTAAATTGTGTTCCGAAGATGAACGAAGGTCTTACGGGTTTGAAACAACACGAGGGTGAGTAATTAATGACAGAATTTTTTATTTTTGGTTGAACTAACCCTTGAACATCATGGTTTCCTATAAAGCTGCTTTGAAATGTGTATGTGAATAAACTGGCTTTATTACAGCTAACAGACACACGTTATCAGACAGCTGTATGTGCCAGTGATGTAAATGAGTTTATTGTTCACCTGCTGATGGAGTGACGCAGGAAGAGTAAGTTTGTGTGTCCTCTGAAACTCCTCCATCAAACTCTTAACCATCACTCCATCTCGACCAGACAGCAGCCAGAACACGCGTTCCATGTTATACGGGTCCTGTGAACATTCACAGCTGTATTCACACACAGACAGCATGAACACAAATAAACCACTGAGAGCAGCGGCACCTGGATGTCGATGGCAGGAGCAAGAGTTTGCTTGACGGAGTCGGACATAGAGAAATCTCCGCTCTGGAGTGCGCGGTGGACGATGTCGTTGGAGTTGACCATGGCCACGAGACGCAGAGGGATTCCCATCAGCTTCATGATGTATCCAGCTGAACAAGCACACAGTCAGTGATGAACAATCATAAAACCCAAGCATACCAGGACTCTCTGTTCACATTCATCTCAATAGCAGCTGCTTGGCTGGAGCATTCAGACCCAGAAGGACATGATCACAGATGAACTGCTCACAATAAATCCAGGAACATGCACAGCTCCACATATTACAAAACGTCTTGCTGTGGACAATAAGAGCATCTAATTCAAACTCACCCTTAAACAGCTAAACCTTTGGGTGAAAGTCAAATTTCATCCAAACATCAAAAGAAAGAAATCGGAAATGATATTTTGCATAAAGAAAACGAAGCCTATTTTTAGGATATCAAGCGATTTGTATCATGAGATTATTTTCATGCCAACTGAGCACATTTACCCCAAATTTTCAATACTGTGTAATGAATCTGGAAGTTTTGATTTTGGGTTTCTTTGTAATTATCATTATTCTCACAGGTGATTCTTGTTTCAGCATTATTTCAATTTTTAATAAATGAATGGATAAATAAGTAAATACAATTCTATTAATAAAGAATTATAGTCATACGGTGATTTTTTTTTTAAATCAGCAAAAAAAAAACACCACACTTTGCACACCCAAAACAATCACTGGTGCATTAGATGAAATTACAATATAAAGCATTAAAATATCAATCCTGCACACTACTCAAGTTTGCATCATCACAAAAATATCATAATGAGCAATGTTTCGGTCAATCAACCTTCCTCTCTCTTCAATTGACCAAAATGTTGTTCATTAAAATATTATGCAAACTTGGGTCCTGTGCAGGATTAAAATGTTTCTGTTTTATATTAAAGTAAAACTAATACTGTAGTTATTAAAGAGTCGATATCAAACATTAAAATAAGATCTTGTCAGATAACATGTTTATCTGTCATGAAAACATCATGTCTTCTTCTCTCTTGTGATTGTGGGTGGTGTTGTCGGCAGGTTTGTTGTTCTTCACCTGTGATGTTTCCCGCTCCTCCTGTGGGCACCAGCACCTCCAGCACGGGCAGAGCGTCTCCTTTGGCCTGCGGCATGCTCAACTGCAGGTATGCGAACAGGAAATGTGCCAGCTGGACCAGGATCCTGGACCAGTTCACAGAGTTCAGACTCATGAGACCATGATGTAGCACCAGGTCTGGATCCGCAAACAGTTTCCTCAGTGGAACATCGATGTCGTCAGACGTCCCATCAGCTGCAGTTACAAACACACAGAGAGGGTCACGGCACACTGCTGACATTTGACTGAAACAATAGATTTTATAAACAAATGTAACGAACTATATGTATACATTAATGTTAAAGAAGGCTCTTCTGCTCACCAAGGCTGCATTTATTTGATCAAAAATACAGTAAAAATTGTAAAATATTATTACAATTAAAAAGAACTCTTTTCCATGTGAATATATTTTAAAATGTAATTTATTCCTGTGATCAAAGCTGAATTTTCAGCATCATTACTCCAGTCTTCAGTGTCACATGATCCTTCAGAAATCATACTAATATGCTGATTTGTTGCACAAGAAACATTTCAAGGTTATTATCAATGTTGTTCAAACAGTTGTGCTGCCGAATATTTTTGTGGAAACCGTGATACATTTTATTTATTCTTCAGTGTCACATGATCTTCAGAAATCATTCTAATATGCTGATTTGCTGCTCAAGAAACATTTCTCATTATTTTTATTATTATTATTGAAATTATTATTATTAAAGTAGTATCATTATTATTGAAAACAGTTGTGCTGCCGAATATTTTTGTGGAAACCGTGATACATTTTATTTATCAGGATTCTTTGATGAATAGAAAGTTTAAGTTTTGTTGAAATAGAAATCTGGTAACATTATAAACAGTGTTGGGGAAAGTTACTTTTAAAAGTAATGGGATTAAATACATAAAGGATATTTGTGTTGTTTAACATGCAGGTTTGCGTCATATTCTGAGTTGCATTATTTTTTATTCATTTTGAGGAATACTGAATCTGTGTTTTTTTGTGAGTGAGATGAATTAATGCATATTCATATTTATTTTAGAACTACAGTAACATCTGATTTCTCTCAACATGGGGACAGGAGAGCTGTCAATCAATAAATTGGAAATTTATTTGAAAAAGTAACTCAGATATTCTCTTGTAAATTAAAAAGTAATGCGTTACTTTACTAGTTACTTGAAAAAAGTCATCTGATTATGTAACTCGTGTTACCCCCAACACTGATTATAAATGTTTTTACTGTAACTTTTGATCAATTTAATGTGTTCCTGATGAATAAAAGAGTCAGTTCCTTAAAAAAAAAGACGACTGTTACTCTTTACCTGCAAACACATGGACGTTGTCCGCTATGCTGGTGGTCATCTGTCGTTCCTGTACTCTGGTGATGCGTCTGCGGGGAAACACCACCACTATGTCCACCTCACTGAGACCCAACACACTTCTGATGGCCGAGCCGCCCGTGTCGCCCGACGTACCTGAAACAACTGCATGTCTGAATCTCCATCACAGGACACAGGACTTCAGAGCAGATGTGAGATGGGCGTCACTTCATACCTACTAGAATTGTGGCCCGTTTGCCATCTTTGCGCAGGAAGTACTGCAGGAACTGAGAGGTACAGGACATGGCCAGATCCTTAAACGCCAGCGTTTCTCCATGAAACAGTTCCAGGATGGACAGCGAGTCCTTCAGCTGAACCAGTCTCACAGCTTCAGGTATGGAGAAGCTAGACAGCGCCTGCGAAATTAGCCCTAAACAGAGACAGACAGCAGGAGGTTTGGACTGGTTCATGATGTCTGATGAGTGTTTGGTCCAGGACGCGTCTCACCCTCTAGATCATGTCGCGGTATCTCCTGCTCAGGGATGTAGAGGGAGCAGATCTCACACAGCAGCTGCTGGTAGGACAGACGGCTCCACGTGAGCAGTGTTTCAGGAGACAGTGATGGGATGGTCTCGGGCATGAACATGCCTCCGTCTGCAGCGTATCCAGAGAACAGTACGTCTCTGAAGCTGAGGCCCTGAACGCCTGCACGCGTGCTGCAGTAATGCATCCTACAGAAACAACATTCACCAAAAAATGCTGAAAAACTCCTCACCCTCAGACCATCCAGGAGGTAGATGAGTTTGTTTCTTCATCAGATTTGGAGAAATGTAGCATTCCATCACTTGCTTACCAATGAATCCTCTGCAGTGAATGGGTGCCGGACTCACTTGCATGGATTATGGACTATATATTTTAGCCGGAAGCAATGATTTGAAGTTAAAAAAGGTCTTAAAGGGGTCATATGATGCTGCTAAAAATAACATTATTTTGTGTATTTGGTGTAATGAAATGTGTTTATGCGGTTTAAGGTTCAAAAAACACATTATTTTCCACATACACATTATTGTTTCTCCTCTATGCCCGCCGCCTTTCTGAAACGCGTCGATTTTTACAAAGCTCATCGGTCTGAAAAAGCGAGGTGTGCTGTGATTGGCCAACTATCCAGTGCGTTGTGATTGGCCGAATACCTCAAGCGTGTGACGGAAATGTT